GTTCTTGTTTCGCATCCTCTCACAGGGACAAGACAGAATTGTTCTACTTAAGCTCGTGCCATGAGTACGGCCCTAAGTGCCAAACACAAGCTGGCCTTTATTGATGGAACTACACTTAAACCAGAGCCTTCTTCTCCATTTGGGAGAGATGTATGATATGATTTTGTCTTGGCTTCTTAATGCCTTGTCCAAAGATCTCGTAAATAGTGTTGTGTTTGCCTCCATAACGCATGACGTGTGGACTGACCTGCAAGATTGTTTTTTACCTAGCAATGCCCCACAACTTTACCAAATCAAGGAATCAAAGACATTGTGTGATACTGCCACCTTTTCTACGAGAACCCTTGCTGTGATCTGCTTGATCCATATTTATCTCAAAGATCCAAGGATTTTCTTTGAGGTATATATTCTTCTTTTTGTGTTTTAAACTTGATGGAACAAGTTCCGCATTGTGACTATGGTTTAACAGTTGACAAGCGTGGCTCCTGATGTGAGGATGGTTTCCAGTGATTCTCAATATCTTACTGTCATGTTTATCGTGGCCATGGACGTCGAAGGTCTGCAACTTTTCAAGGAGCAGAAATGATCCATTAGAGAGAGAAAGTTATAGATCGGCTTAATAAAGGAGGGGAGCGGTACTGTACAAGTTGTTAGGAATGAAGGGTTGAGGGTGGAGAGAGAATGAGAGATGGGTTAGAGAGAAAGTAAAAGGTTTTTTTATGGTTTTCAGAGATCACCGTATAGAGAGAGTTATTGTGATCTGCTCAAGATAAACCATGCATTAGCCATTTGGGGCAATCTGAGGAGCACTATTGCCAGAAGCTCTCGATCCTCGTAGGAGCAGGTTGCTTGGATTTGGGCTTGCTAAAGATGCTGGTGCTTCAAAAGTTTCGGATTTTCTTTTTATTTCTGTTGGCTCTTTCAAGTGCCTCATGTTTGATGATCGAAGCTTTCGATCCTAATTGATGATCAAGTTTTTCGTTACTTGATCATGTTTGGTGATTGAGTTATTCGTTACTCAATCTTATGGGATGATAGAGTTTTCCATTACTCCATCTTGTGTGATGATCGAGTTTCCGTTACTCAATCCTGTTTGATGATCAAGTTTTTTTTTACTCGATCTCGTTTGTTCCCGAGGTCGTCTATTCTGCTGTTAATAGAGTTTTTCGTTACTCGATCCTTCCTGAGGTCGTCTGTTCTTGAGGTCTGCTGCCGCTTTTCTGTGCTTGTTGTTCAAGCAATATGTGCTTATGGTTCAAGCAAACTGAAGATCACTACTCGTTTTTTGTAATTTAGTATTATTCAAACTCCAGTTGTTTTCTGTCAAAGCATCTTGAGTTTGAGGGGGAGATATCTCAGGTTCATATTGATATACATCATTATGGATGTATGGGTATATCTTTTGATAAGATTAGGTATCTAGAAGATAAGAAGAGACCAAATCAAAATTACTTGATCGTCAAATTAGTTTGGTGATAAAGTCTCATACTATTTACCTATATCTCCAAGAATCATATCATATTTATCTCCTATAATTGTGTGATTGTCATCTATATATAGAAGTACTTATTGATGTAAACAATCATCCAAAATGGTGAAGATGTAGCCCATCCGTGGACGTAAAGCTTCGGCCTGAGCTACGTAAATGTTGTGTTCTCTCTTCTACTCGCTCCATTATCCATTCAATGTCTGTGCATGTATGCTCCCACAAATTCTAACAAGATCACCAATCTATTTTTTAAAACCTTGAAAATAACTGAAATCTAGGGCGCATTCATTTCCGAACAAACTTTCTATGCTTCCCCTACAACATTAGCCTTATATACTTCCCCTTATTCAACTCTCCATTCCGATTGGACGATGGAGATGGCCCCAATCACCATGTCATACTTAT